CCCCCCCCCCCCCCACCAAGGATGCTAAGCAGCAGCTGGCAGCCTGAGAGGGCAAATGGGGATAGGACTGGTGGCTGAATGAGCTGGGGAAGCACTCAGGACAGGGTTGAGATGTAACGACCCTCCCTTTCTCCCCCAGTAAAGGCTGAAAATCTGGGTCACAGCTGAGGAAGAGCTCGGACATGAAGTCCAAGATGTGGTAAGTTTGGTACAGCAGAGGGAGGCTGGGGGCCACTTCTCCTGGGGTCTGGGCCCCTTCCCTCCTAGGTCCACCCAGGGCCTTCGATCCCAAGGGCCAGACCCTAGGAAGGTAGGAAATGAGACCAGTCTTTCCAAGGCCCACCTGCTTTTCCAGAGAAAGCTGGAGGGAGGCAGCCTGGGATCTCTGGTAGGAGCCTGTGCTCCCCACACATAAGCCCAAGACAGCCTTGAGTCTCACCCGCTTTCTCTCCCTTCTTGCAGGCCTGCACTGCTGCTGTCCCACCTCCTCCCTCTCTGGCCACTGCTGTTGCTGCCCCTCCCACCACCTGCTCAAGGTTCCTCCTCCTCCCCTCGAACCCCACCAGCCCCAGCCCGGCCCCCCTGTGCCCGGGGAGGCCCCTCTGCCCCACGCCATGTGTGCGTGTGGGAGCGGGCACCCCCACCAAGCCGATCCCCTCGGGTCCCAAGATCTCGTCGTCAAGTCCTGCCAGGCACTGCGCCCCCTGCCACCCCGTCAGGCTTTGAGGAGGGGCCACCCTCATCGCAGTACCCCTGGGCTATTGTATGGGGCCCTACAGTGTCTCGAGAGGACGGGGGGGACCCCAACTCTGCCAACCCTGGATTTCTGCCTCTGGACTATGGTTTTGCAGCCCCCCATGGGCTGGCCACCCCACACCCCAACTCAGACTCCATGCGGGGTGATGGAGATGGGCTCATCCTTGGAGAAGCACCTGCCACCCTGCGGCCGTTCCTTTTTGGGGGCCGTGGGGAAGGTGAGTAGGAGTGGGGGAGGCTGGTAGGGGGATGAGGGGTGGGGAGGCTGGTTGAAAGCTCTAAGGGCGGCGACAGAGTCCTTGTCTGTTAGTTCTTCCCACAAACGTGTCAGGCACTGTGCCGGCACAGGAGGCAGAGATGAACTGCCATCTGAGCCCCGGAGGAGCTCAGGTCCACTGGAGAAGACAGATGTGTAAACACTCAGGGATGAGTCAATGTAATAAGTGCTCTAATAGAAGCATACACAGCATGTTTTTAGGAAAAGAGGGAAGGGAGAGATTACTTTTGCCTGGGGATCAGGACACCTTCCAAGAATTGACCTTGGAGCTGGACCTTGAAAATGAAGTGGGAGTATTCCATGCAGAAGAACACCATGGAGGACAAGGGCCTTCAGGGTGACATCTCAGCTCAGGGAATGCCAATATAGGGCCAGTAGTTTGGGGTGGGGCTAGGGCACAGATGGACATTCCTACCCCTTAGTTTCTGTGCAGAGAGAGGGGTTCTCTCTGACCTTGTAGCCTCCTCCTCGTCACATGCATACAGATTTGGGAACGTGGAGGAAAGGAACTGAAAACTCTAGGGAAAGCGGATAAGAATAAAGGGGGGGGCGGAGTCCAGGAAAGCAGAAAGAATTGGACAATGTGGATTCAAATGGCGACACTCTCTAAGTTTAACTGAACCTGAAGCCTGGTCCCACCCCCACCCCCTCTTGGCCCCTACCACTTCAGGCCTCCCTAAAACTTTCTCCCCACCCCAATCAGGTGTGGACCCCCAGCTCTATGTCACAATTACCATCTCCATCATTATTGTTCTCGTGGCCACTGGCATCATCTTCAAGTTCTGGTAAGCTGCAAGGAGGAGGGTGCTGGCAGATGGGGACCAGATGTTTAGCAATGTTTGGCTAGAAGGAGGGCAGGAGCAAGGGCAGTGTTTTTGCTGGATGTGGGATAGGAAGTGGTGGGCTACGGCAAGGAAGACCTTGGGAAAAAGTGGTAAGGATTTGGGGTTGGAGAGACAGAAATCAGGGCAAATTACTTTTCCCAGGGAAATACAAGGATAACGGGAGGCAGGGGACTTAAGTGCACTGGGGGCTAGCAAGGGATGCCTTGGTGGGCATTTCCTCTAAGACAGAGAAAACTGACCTGTTCTGCACAGCTCCTTCCTGGGGCTGCCTGGGGGGGAAGGGAGAAAGTCCAGAGCTCTTTGCATGCATTTAATAATGGGTCGTTCAGTCCTTCACACTTTACTGAGAGAATCATTAGACTCAGGTGTCCAGGTCATTAGCTGATTTTGAACTAGAACTAAACTTGCCAGGCGCCTGCTGAAGAGAAATGGCTCTTCTGGGTACGCATGGGGGAGGGAGCAATTCTGGGGGACTCTGTGTTGGTGGGGAGGAGGTACTGATTCTGTGGACCTGGACCAGGTCTGGAAGGTTTACATCCCTGAGCCCCCCCCCCC